GTCCCTGCCCATAGCAGGGGGTTGTGACTGAGTGAGCTTTAAGGCCCCTTCCAACACAAACTGCTCTATGATTCTGTGCAACCCTCCCCAGCCCCTCCGTTCCGTGCACACACTTGGCCTCAGCTGCTGTGGCACATGAAGGCAGAGCTCACATGGATGTGGTTTGGGAGGGTGAGCAGACTCCTCCCGCACACACAGAACGTGGCTGCAAGTGGGGACCAGGCTCAGCTCACTGCACTACACGTGGGTTTAAGTTAAGCCTCACCCACAGGCTGAAGCTGTGATTAATGCCCTTATTTGTTGTACGGAGCATGGCAGATCAGAGGGCAAGAGGAACATAGTAGGGTGGTGTTTGTAAAAGGACTTTGTAGGCATTCCAGACTTGGGCAAAGAAAAAGACTAGGAAAGCAAGCAGGGCTGGAGCCCAGGCACACACCCATTCTCATTCCCACCTGGGCAGGGCTCCTCTGCTCCAGTGCTGAAGGTGGCTACAGGAAGGAAACAGCACTTCTTCAGTGGCTGCTGCTTTTGGCTGCACTGAAGCAGGTACCTTCACTCCTGCAAAATGTCATCCAGCCTGAAGAGATGAACCAAGAGCTTCTTCCCAGGCTGTCGAAAAACCTGTTCAACTCACCGATGTAAAGATAAGAAAATCAGGTCACTACTGAGGTATAAATGAGGGAGACAAAGCAGCTGTGGAGTAGCTCATCTCCAAAGGTCCCTTCCAACCCAGATCCAGTTTGTTATTCCCACTGCTGGGCTGGGAGGCACCTGGAACAGCCCCCAGCTCTCCAGGGAAGAAGCATGCTAGTTCCTCAGGTGGACATGCTGCATCCCAGGCAAAGGAGTCTTTTCCATAGCCAGTGTCTTTACAGGGCTGGGACACTCGCCTCCCTCCTGTGGCATAACTGAGCCGTGCTCCTCCAGCATGAGGAGTGCTGACAAACACCCGGGGGATTTCCAGGAGAAATTCTGTATCCTGCTTGGAAAAAAAAAAATATCAGTGCACGGGAAAACCATTTTTACTTTAAAATGCCTAAAACCCCCAGGAGTTGGGTGCTGTGTCCCCTGAACACACACAGAGCCTCCCAAGCAATGCCACTGGGTGGGGGAGATGGTTGAGCAAGAGCCCCAGGCTGCAGCCAGCCACAACTGCTCATTAGCTATTGTACTACAAAGAAAGGTGCTTTCTTCTGACATTTCAGAGCATACATTAAAGCTCCAGTCCGGCAGCTCACACCTCTTGGACTGCTTCCTGCTATGCCACTTCAGTCCCCATGCAGTCTTGACCCAATCACAGACTGGTCTGGGTTGCAAGGGACCTTAAAGCTCATCCAGCACCAACCCCTTGACTCCAAACATTTCCTTAAGCAATTTGCACATCTTAAAAATAAAATCCTTTATTGATAATACGAATGTTTAACATGTTTAATGCCATCAGCTATAAAAATGATTAAAGACTTCAGCTTGGTACATTTGGCTTTACAAATTTACAAGTGTTAATGAATTAATACTTAGTGTATACATTTTGCACTTCATTATACTCCATCAGCCAGTGACAAACTGCAACAATGTCTGCTTATAACAGATGTGAGTTATAGAAGAAATATTTAGTTGCTTCCACACAGAATCTACATCAACAGTTAAATACTAACTCTAAATGTCTTACTGAATTAGTTGGATCCATTTTAATATCTTGTGCTTAGTTTCTCTCAGAAGATAGGCTACTAGCAAAAATACATTCTTTTGCACACCCCCTTCCCATATTATATTTTAGAAGAAACAGTACTCAGTGCATTTCCTAATAGACTTCATCATAGTATATCTCTCTCTATAGAGCTATTGATAAAGAAAGGGGATAATACCATTTAGGTTAATGTAAAAGCAAAGAAACACGTTAAAGCAGTGTATACAAAAGCCTCACTTCTGATACATGGGCCAAAAATCCATCTGCCCATCAGTTTTTACAATTAACTCTCATCCAGAGGAAAAATCTGCTGTGGATACTTAAAAAGTTACAAAAGTAATAAATGTGCTTCCAAAAGAGTCACTGCCCATTGATCTCCAGGCTGCCCTGTCTCCCTCTTGGTAGTGCACAGCCCGTGCCACCAGATTAGGAACAGCAGCACGTAATACCACAATTTAAAAGGCTACTAAAAAGTCTGTACAAACCTCTTGTTTTAGTCTAAATACCTGCTAGGCTGTGTGGGAGAGAGCAGCAGGGCCACCTCGGACAACAGCCACTTCAAAGCAGCACGAGAGCTCTGACATCCTATGAAACGAGACTCAAAGTGAGAAGGAACCATCGGGCCATGTACAGCAGCACATCCCCCCAACTGCCGCAGGGATCCTGCCACAGGGCAGGTGGATGTGTTCTGTCTAATTAAATATTGACACTTGACAAGGAGAACGTGGCTGTGGCAGAGGGAAGCCACTGTGATGCTGCTGTAGAGGGAAATGCTGAACATGGAATGACACTGAGCAGCAAGTCCAGCTGCTAAATTTAGGATCCGTTCATGTGCAACACCCGAGGTGATTAACTCAGGGTTGTGCTCAGCCTCTGCAGCTGATCTGTGGTGGATCTGCCTTGTGTTTCTCCCTGCAGTGACTCAGAAAACCAAGTGTGCTGAAGGATGGGCACCACCTCTGCAGGGAGCATTGCACTGCTGGCTGCAAACGTGCCTGCACAGCGCTCAGCTGCTTCTCCCCTCTTGGGCCCAAATAATTTCTCACACTCATGATTTGCCTCAACAAATCAATTCCTCGCTAAGTGATTTTTTTTAATCTCAATGAATTGCCTCATTTTCTTCCTATTAGGCAAAACACCAAGAATAGATAAGAGATTTTTCCTAATACATCATGTATTTAGTATGTATGTGTGTGAAGCTACTTACACATATATACATACTCAGTTACACAGCAGTAATGTTTTGGTTCCGTATTTGCAGCCAAGGAAAGCCAGCAACATCCCCCAGATCTTGACTGGGTAAAATCCAGGTCAGCCAGACAAAAACGATAGAGCTGAGGAACATTATTGCTTTTGTTTCTAGTAGAAGATCCCATGTTACTGTTGCAAAAAAACCTGTATCTTATGGACCAGTGATTTTTTCAAGTAATAGCGAGATCTTTGTCAAGTAACAGCAAGATCTTTTTCTCAGAAGTTCTACACACAACAGTAGAATGCTTGAAGAGCTTGAAAATTCAAGGTGACACACCAGAAACCAGAGTTTAGCCAGTTAAAGCACACAGGCATCTCTGCAGAATGTGTTATGGGAAAGCAAAAAGAACTACATGGACAATGGATACTGACAGAAGAGTAATCTGCATTGTATTACAGCTAAATTTGACCCTAAGAAACTTGTGTGTGCTTCCTCAAATAGCTGTGTCCCACAGGACAAAGCGTGGCTGGCTGCGTCGGCTTGGTGCTCACCTTGCAGGATTTGTAGCACATTTGCTAACTTCTTTTAGCAAATGGAAAGAATTCAAAAGAAAAACAGTGTTGGTTTCAACATTCAGGACTCACAGAAGCATTAGTTTCAGCAACGAGATGGTCCCCCCCTCCTCACCTTCCTCAGAGAATCACATTCGTATTGCAGGCTTAGATCAGGCACTTTTTAGATAATGTTCATCTGGAGTAAAAAGTCTGCAAAAGTTATTTCTGCAGAGTTTAAAGTAGCATTTCAGTCCCATTAGAGGTTGATAGTTAGGTCCCACCACACAATTGTGGTTCTTCTTTATATTTGACTGTTGCCAGGAGACATTTTGAGGCTATTGTATAGCTGTGGTTAAGGTTTCTTCATAAACAAAAATATTTCCCTACCTATTCAAAAAAGAAAACAAATATACTAAATGCTTTATACAGACAGAATCTGCTACTATGGCAATAAATAACATGGAGTGGAAAAACAGTGTCTTAGCTCTGGGATGCTAAGCCATGGAATGTCACATTCACATTTTCTGGAGACTAGCTGCTAGTTGGCAGGAGTATCTCAATGTCTTTGCCATTTGACACTACAGTGTTGTTAGAGCAGCTACTTGCCACGTCCATGGGGGCACCCAGCGAGGATGCTTGGGAAGAGGTTTTGGTTAGAGGAGCAGGAGCAGCAGGTGACTGAGCGAGGCCGGGTTTCTTTGGGGGAATGGGAGGAGGGTTCCCTCTTTCTGCTCTAGGAATGGTCGGTGATTTAATTCCAGGAGACAACGGGCTTAGTGGGCTGGAAACCTTGCCAGGGCTTGGAGAGTGACCAGATTCGTTTTTGGGGCTCACAGCATTCGCCAGGTTTCGATAGTCTGTGCCAAAAGGTGAGCTGTTAGGGGAGACAGGTTTAATAGGTCCCTGCTGGCTGGTAAATCTGGAAAGGACCTGAGTGACTGTATTGCGGGCCAACTGCTTGGCAGCAGAGTTATCTGCTAGAGTAGGAGACAGATCCCGGGACGGAGGGCTCTGCAGACCACTGGACTGATGGTCCTGTTCAGCCTGAGACTGAAACTTGTGCCGAGCTGCATGGAAACGCTGATTGATCCCCACCTGGTAGGATGACTGGTAACCAGGGCTGCTTGCTGAAGCTCCCACTAAGCGTTTAGTCAAGACTGGTGAGGAGCAGGGAGAAGGTGTAAGAGAGGAAGCAGCTGTGCTGCTGGGAGACAGGGTGACCCCACCAGAAGGGAGCTGGGACATCAGATGCACCGGTGACTCTGTTCTTACAGGAGAACTTCCATTCTCAACTGTGTTTTCTGAAGCTGCACCAGCAGGTTTCTCCTTTTGAACTTGGCTCTCTGGTGCAGTTGTCTGCAGTAGCTCACTTCCTGTCTGCACATCTGTATCATAATGACCATTGGACTTTGCATAGGCATGAGTAGGTGTAGTAGGGCTGGGAGATGTGGTGTGCACAGCTTTGCTTGTGCTGGCAGGATTTGCTCGGTCTGCCTGCACACACTCTGTCTGGCAAGACACAGACTTCACTGGGGGGCCATCAGTTGCAACCCCTCTGGACACCACTAAGGGGCTGGGCTGCAGAGGCTCGGTAGGACTGTGCTCCTGGCAAGAAGCCTCCAGCTCTTTCAGGGCTTTCTTCAGACATTCCACCTCTTCCTTAAGTGCTTTTGTACGGTTTTCTTCTCTGTTCAGCTTGGCTTTCAGCTGTTCTCTTTCAATGTCAAACTCCGAGAGCTGCTTTTCTACTTGTGCTTCCATCTGTAAACCCCGCTTCCTCTTGGATGCCAGTTCCTCTTCCAGTTTACTCACCTTACTCTTCTCTTTTTCCAATTTCAAGCTCAATTCTGCTGTCTTCTGCCCCTCTTCAGCTGCTTTGGCAGTGGCTTTTTTGCACTCCACTACAAGCAGGGAAGACAGTTGCTTGTGGCGTGCCCTTTCCTCCTCCAACTGGCTTGACAGCTTCTTCTGTTCCTTTTCAAACTTCTTCACCTGGGATTTTTCAAATTCCAACTGGATGATAAGAACATAAGAAGACTGTAAGGGAACCATGAAACATCCCGAAAATAAATGAAGTATAAATCCCCAAAATGGAATGGAGTTACTACATATCTTGGAGAAATTATACAGTAAAAGATGGAAATGGTTTAGAAAGAGCTTCTCGCCCCAGGTATCTGCAAGACAGTCTCACACGACTCAGGCTGCAGGTATTAAGAATTATTACTTACTAGTAGTTTTATCATGTATGAAATTCAATTGACCTTTAGTGAGATGTACACCCAGTCTGCCATGTACCGATCGAACACGCGATCTGGAGCAAAGCTTCCTTCCACCTCATTTACTACTTTGTTGGTTTGTCTTTTAAAGGCATTTAGACTTTAAAATGCTGATGTGTTATGTATGTTTAATAAAGTCTACAGCGCTTAAGTAAGAGAGAACAGTAGCTTAAATATTTATTATCATCTCTGAATAGCACCCCCAGGAGATCTTCCATGACTTATTCTGAATTCTGAGTACTAGAGAGCCCTATCATTTGTAAGTGCAGGCTTGTTCTTGAGAACTTCTCACATTTCAGGCTGAAGTAACATTTCAATTGCCTATTAATAGCTTTTAGCACTGCTCAGCTACCAAAACACCTCAAAATATTAAGGTTCTTTCTCATATTTTGATATCAGAAAAGCTAGGAGTGCCTCACAGAGGAGGGAGGTGCCTAGTGCTCCTTCAGCACAAAGGTGCAATTAGACGTTGCTACCGAGTTCACCACCCAGGAGCTGGGTTTCTGTGGGTTGGGCAGTCCCAGCTCCCGGAGCATACCTGCTGGGTGAGCCGCTCCCGCTCCTTCTCCAGCATGTAGGTGACATCATCCCCCTCTGCTGTGTCCTGGGCGTGCCGCTGCCGCTCCTCCTCCAGGTCCAGGATCACCTGCCAGGCAAACACCCATCACTGTAATGCCCAGCACACTGACAAGCAGGAGAGATCGGTGCCTCCGCACACGGTCCAACGCCAAATGGAGCGGGAGAGCAACCACTGCAGCCTGAGACAGCCCAATTCACCTTGAAAACCCATAAACCAGCTTTTGGACAAGTTACAATATTATACTACTGTTTCATAGAATCAGAGACCGGTTTGGGTTGGAAGGAACCTTAAAGCTCACCCAGTTCCAACCCCCTGCCACGGGCAGGGACACCTTCCACTAGACCATGTTGCCTTGAGTCAGCCCCTTTAGGCACTGGAGCTGCTCTGAGCTCTCCCCTTAAGGAGCCTTCTCTTCTCCAGCTGACCCAGCCCAGCTCTCTCTGCTTGTGTCCACAGCAGAGCTGCTCCAGCCCTCACAAGCATCTCCATGGCCTCCTCTGGACTCACTAACAATAGTAATATTTGGTACAGCTGAGTCAGTTTGTTAAAGAAGTTAGGAAAACCTCACACTGCATGTATCTTCATTTTATTATTAAATAGCTAAATTGCATGCTTTTCCTCCAGATTGCATAACAGCCTTGAGAAGTCTACTTTCCTCTGTCCTTGGTTGTATGATGCCCCATCAGAATCTCCTGGCAGGACCATTAACGTAAAGCCCAGCAGAAGCAGAGGCACTGCCCAGGGAATGTGCAGCCCAGGGACATGGGGCACTAACAGTTACCACAAGACGATCCTCACTCTGGTTTCAGCAGTAATTCACACACAGGCTTCTCCCCCAGTTTCTTAGAGGGGATTTGAGGACTGCTGTGCAAAGTTTATTTTAAAGAACATTAATTTGTTCTTCCACTTAAGAACAAGATGAGCTCTTGAAATGAAACTGCTTGCCATAAGGACCCAGTTAAGGAGCTCCTTCAGCTTTTGTGCTGAATTACATGAATAATTGAAATTCTATTTAACTCAACAAAAAAAGGCAGAATGCAAACTTCTCACCAACAAAACTCTAGGCTCTCCCAACACATGCTCACCACGAAGCTTCCAAACAGTGCTCAAAGATATTTAAATACACAAGGAACATTCTTATGGAAGGAGACACGAAGGACAGAACAGGAAGGGAGAAAAATATCTTATGTTAATAGCATGATTCAGCTCAATACGTGGCTGAAAAGGGAAGCACACAGCTTTTCTGCTGCTTCCAGTAACTTAGAGGACAAACCAAAAGCTGAATATACCTCCAGCTGCCCACCCTAAGCATAGCATCTGTGATTTAAAAGTCAAGCTGACCAGTTTCTTATGTCTTGGTAAGGTTTCTACAACATAAATGCTTCACATTATTCACAGACCTAAAGGAACTTTCTCTGTCTTACCTCCATCAAAACAGATTGTGGCAAAATAAACTTTAGCCCACATGTTGATGAAATAGAGGGCTCAACTTTGAACCTTTTGATTAGAAACAGAATGTGACTACTTGTCTTTGAGATCTTTGTACGTGATTTACTAAGTTTAAATCAAATCAAGAGCGATACACCTGACAAAAAAACCCAGGATGGTTTGGCGCAAGTGCAGGCACTAGTCAAAAGCACACCAGGATCTGACATTGTGAAAGGCAACTTCTAGACGCCAGGGTAATAGCAGCACCTCACAGCCTGCCACGGGTGCAAGCAAAACCAAAAATGACTCTTGTAAAACGGAAGAGTGGTATGTGAAAACGTGGAGATAGAGTGCTGCAATGCAGGTGACTGCAGGGATGCTCCAGGGAGCTCCTCCCAGTTGCAGATTCAAACGATGCACGCTTGGGCAATTATTCTCTGCCCTGGCAACATAGCGTGGACAAATACTTTAATCATTTTGACTTGTTTAAATGTACTGCAGGACAAAACAAAATCGTATCACAGAACCAGAGAATGGTTCAGGATGGATCTTAAAGCTCATCCAGTTCCAACTCTCTGCCAGGGGCAGGGACACCTTCCACTAGAGCAGGTTGCTCCAAGCCCCTGTGTCCTTGAACACTGCCACGGATGGGGCAGCCACAGTTTCTCTGGGCACCCTGTGCCAGCACCTCAGCACCCTCAAAGGGAAGATTTTTTCCCAATATCCAATCTAAACATGTTTGTTTTGTTTGGTTTTTTTTAAAGGCTAACCTGTTACATAAAGAGATTATGTTGCAGCAAGACTCCAAGAAGCAGAGTTCAGTGGACTTCTGCTTTCAGACTTGTGTACAGCTCTACGTTCCTCCTGTAAACTACAGTACCCCAGATGAGCAAACCTCTGTGAAAATAGGGTCTGACATGTCGAGCAAGCACTTCACTGATGTCAACGTATGTTTGTCCTGGGTTCAGCTTAAACCACAACAATGTTAAAGCTATATAAGAAGAATAATAGGTGCTTTATAAAGAGGTCAAATAGCATGAAAAATAGTTATATTTTTTAGGAAAGCATAAAGAGGTGCACTCCTGGCACCAGCTCTTTGATTATCCCTGAGAACAAGTCACAAGCAGAACAGTGATATGTTTGCTGAGAATTAATCTTCCAGAGACCTTTAGGTAAGCACTATATCTCTCAGTTGTGAATAAGCTTGTTCCCTTTTGTGTGTCCTAACAAAACCATCTTGCATACATTTCAAACGTTGGAATTACAATTAATAAGCTTACCAGCTGCATTGTATTGAGTGAGAAGTTTAAACAAAGGTGCAAAGTTCTTTCAGTTACCAAAACTCAAGGCATTTAATATGGTAACTTCAGCAGAAACAATTATCAACATGCAACTACTAACTTCTGCACATCTTATTAGAAGCAAAACCTACCTTTCTGTGTCTGCTTTCTGCAGCAGCTAGTTGGGATAACATTCTTTCCTGCATATTCTTGCAATGTTTCATCACCACTTTCAAAATGGATAAGGGATTGGAGCATACTGGTTGCTTTTCCCCATGATTTCCCTCTTTCAGGGTCTCAAAATCTCTCTGCAAAGCCATTAATGGATCACTGATGTTGTACTTCCCATAGCGTTCTTCAATGAATGTGTCTCTATGCTGGGCCTGCAATAAAAAACAAATTTGCATTTCAATATACTTAAACCAGAAAAACAGCTAAAGAAGAAAGTACTTTGTAGGTGATAATCCACTTCCTAAATTTTCCACTTTGAGATAGAGATCTTCACACAGTATGATTCATATCCTGTTATCTGCCAGAAGAATGAGGGTATTCAGACAGGAAAACACCAAGGTGCGTCACAGTAAAGGTCCCTGGTTAACAGACAGGGCAGTAAATCTCAAGTCAAACCAGTCAATCAATACACTCAACACTCAATAGCAGTGCAGTCCCTGCCACTCTGGTCAGCTCCTGCTCTCCATGTAAGATACATGGAAAGCTTTGCAAAACCCACTTGCATTTCCACAGCTGGAACACAAGCAAGTGCACACTCTCCACAGGCAGCCTGAAATAAGCCTGAGGGAGGTTATATGAAGCATGTGCTCGATTAGTTTCTCACTGTCCTTCCAGTATTCCAAAAGAACAGTGTCTTTGAAGCAAGTGGCCCCAGAAAAGCTAGAAACAAAGGAAAATCTTGCTTGAAAACACAGCTTCTCCATGATAAGGTCAGTCTAAAACATCCTCATACCGCAGCTACCTGCTATGTCTGTGATTACATTCCACAACTGTGAGAAAGGAAATAAGGAAAGTAATCCTTGCTCAACAAACGGTTTAATCATTTACTGCTGTACCAGTGGAAGAGCAGTTGGGCCATTTCCTTGACTGTCACCATCAAAGACTTTCATGTTGAGCAGTTAGAGTTTTATTCTCGCAATAGCCTATAAATCTGTGAATTGTTAACAAAATCCTTAATGTTCTCATCCAGACTAAACAAAGTGTAGTTTCTCAAGAAGGAAGATAGGAATGATCAGGATTCTTTTGGTGACATGTAAGAATTAAGGAATATCACATGCACTAGGCTTTACATACACAGCATTTAGAATCAGCCATTGCAGCTGGAAATCTGTTTGTCAGGATACCAATAGCCTTATCCTATTGAGTGACTACTGTGAATTTCTAAACAACAAAATTTCATAAACACAGATATTAAAATATTATCTACATGTTTACCACCATGATAAGAAACTGTATGAAAACAGATATCCATACAACAAAAGATATAAGAGGGAAAACTAGATTCAATAGAGCCCTCAGAGCTGATCTGTCTTGGCTCCAAGAAATATAAGCATTAATTTCCACTGAAACAGTTACAGGCTACATGCCCAGCATCTGTGAAAGCCTGTGACAGTGTTTTGCTCCAGTGTGTATCACCCACAGTGCAACCCTGTGCCCAGCAAAGCTGCTGCACCCTGCCAGGAAAGAACATCATCCACAGCTGAGGCTTAAATCTGATTCTACTTGATTCATTACAGTCACGGTAACCAAGCCTTACGAGATAATTCATACCTTTTCTTTTCTAGATTTCATGATTATGGAGACCTAATGAGCAGCCTTCCAGTGCCCTAAAGGGGCTGACAAGGAAGCTGGTGAGGGGCTTTGGACAAGGGGGCATGGCTTTAACCTGCCAGAGGGGAGACTGAGATGAGATCTGAGGCAGAAGCTCTTCCCTGGGAGGGTGCTGAGGTGCTGGCACAGGGTGCCCCGCGCAGCTGTGGCTGCCCCATCCCTGGCACTGTTCAAGGCCAGGTTGGACACAGGGGCTTGGAGCAACCTGCTCTAGTGGAAGGTGTCCCTGCCCGTGGTAGGGGGTTGGAGCTGGATGAGCTTTAAGATCCCTTTCATCCTAAACCATTCTCTGGTTCTACGAAATGAAAGTGTGAACCCTATTACCTTTAACCAAAGCATGCCATCACCTTTAAAGCAGTTAAAGCATTCAATAGTATGAGTAATTAGCAAAGCACTGTGTGACCTACAGAGGAAAGCTGCAACACTAGAAGCTGCTCTTTTCTTGACAGAGCATGTGTATGACATGTTTTTGCTCCCAGTCTGCTCCCAGCAAATGCTGCACGTTCTTGGGTGTGCTTCGGCTTTCTGTGTACACGCTGCTCACATCTGAGCACCCTCACAAGCACAGACAGAGTTCAGCCATTCCAAATTAAGCACAGCAGCTTTTCAGAGCTGGTGACGGGTTCTTAGCACAAGCTCCACAAAACCCTGACTCTGCTGATGCTGTGAAATGGCATTCAGCTGTCGCAGAGTGGAAAACAAGGATCTGCCTTGAATGCAGAGTGAAAGCGTGCCAGCCCTGCTGCGTGCTTCCTCAGAAAGCCTTTCACCTAACGAGAACAGCAAACTGTCACCCAATTCTCATGGGATTGCCTAAGGACATCTTTTAGATAGAGAAGACTGAGCCTGACTAAAATGAAGCCTGTATTTATTGGAATGGCTCTTTTCTGATGTCCCAGTATCAAAGCCAAACACTTCCCTCAAGCATACAAGAGCAATTGTGATGCTCTAAACACCACCCCACACACCAGTTGGTACAGGGATGCTGAAACAGAAAAGCAAACTGCTATAATTGAGCTGTATAGGTCACAGGACTGATAGATAAGCAATAAAGCTTTGCTTTACTCAAACAGCTGTTGAGATTTGTGCTGGTCCTGCCTGTAAGATGCAACCACATGATTAGCACGAAAGAAAAATAATACAGAAGTCAATCTGTTCTCAAAGGGAAAAGTCTGTGGGTTCCCTTGACGAGTGACATAAACCTGAAACAAATTACTTTGCTTTCCGTATCTCCTCCAGAACAAAACCCAGTTAAAGTCATTTGTCCTATGGTACTGGTTTGGAGTTCTATTTTAACCCTTGCAGTAAGCAAATACAGAGGAACAACTCACACTCAGAAACACACCTCCCTCTTTATCAGGAATATCTACCAGGAATGGTGGATACCTCTGATCAGAGCTTAAGATACTGTTCTAACTTTACACTGAAGAAAAAAAAAAAAAAGAGGAGGAAGGAAAAGCTCAGTCCTGGAAATGGGAGGGCAGCCCTGGATAATGAGCCACCCTGGTTTAATGAATCACAGGAAAAACTGCAGTCTTGTTTTGGTTTTCTTTGAGAGGCAGGAATCTTCAGTTATTCTGAAGAAGTTACAAAAAATGACTCAACTAAACCTCACTAGAAGCATGGAGGGAAATTTGGAGTGGCCCACGCATTACAGTCTGTAAATACAAAGTGGGATACTCAACCAGCTGGCCTAAGTGCTGCGACAGATGAGCTGCTCTTCCCTTAAACCCAATGCACCCTGGAGCTGGTGACTCCAGAGCCCCACAGAAACACAGGAGAAACCCATCAGGAGGACACCAGTGCTGTTACAGTGCAAGCAAAGAGGGGGACATTAAAAAAGTTTACTTCTGGGCAAGTTCTTTCTAATAAACACCCAAAGAACTGGGATTAAAGTCACAGCCCTACCTATAACCTCTGAGTTTCTGCAATACTGAAGGTGGAACATAAGTCCTGTTTTCCCTCTGCTCCTCGCAGCACTGGGCTCTGAACTCTATTGAATTTAGTGGGGTGGTTTATTTCCTGTCTGGGAAAGAACAAGAAGTTCTTCCTTTGCTACTTTGAGCAATTAAGTATTTTCCTGACCTAGCATGACAAACAGATGAGACTGTCCTAACATTCACAGCTTTCTGAAGTCCAGCTATTCTTCTTCAGCAGCCAGCAGAGCATAAACACTTAATTAAAATTGTTTAGACTGGGAAAAGCCTTAAACAGGTCACCCTACACTGACCAGCTGACAAAACCAAACCCAGTGCTTTGGCATTTATGCCACCGTGCACTCGGGCACATAATCTACATGTTATTTCATACAGGTACTGAACTGTCACATACACGAGTGACTTCTCTAGGGCTTCTGCTCCTCACAGAGGCAACTCTTAGCTAAACTTCTACTGTCGCTGGAGATCACACACAAATATCTCCAACAGTTTTGATTTTGTCCTGTCTGAACTGAAATTCAGTCTTAAATCCAGTTTTTATTCAACTTTCAAAACAGCAGCAGCTTGATGATGGAAGAGAAATGTTCTATTAGTGAGCCAAAAGTGGGGAAAAACAAAAAATCATCAGAGTCCAGTATCAACCTATTAAACACATAAATCCACAGGAAATCAAGCTTCAATAGTGAGGAAATAAGGTTACAAAAAGCATTGTTAACTTAGAACTGGAAAATTTAATCTGGAAGACCAGAGATGACAGACATACTTAAAACATCAACTGTGCTTTGAAAGAAGATGTAATCTTCTGCAATTAGAAGATGCTCTAATTAAGTACTTCCACCTCTATCATCTCAAATATGAGTTTCCTACTAAACCGTTCAAACTCCAAAAGCGACTAAACAGACTATTCAGCAATTCCGAAGACTATTAAATTGCCCTCCCCCAACAGGAAAAAAGATAATATTTAAGCTTGTGCTGCTCTTAAAAAAAGGAAGCAGATACCTATTTGCGCAATTTGATTTTTTTAATAAAAGATTTCCTTGTTTATGTGACAGTATTTTCTCTCTCTGCCCTCAATCATCTTTACAACTTGTTTTACCGGGGAATTTCCAAGACTTGTTTCAAGTATATTTTTGGTCACAAAGTCGAGTGTTACTTTTGCCTGCAATTTTAGAGTTCAGCTTTCAAGACTTGGCACAACACAAACACACTGTTATTAACTGCAGCTACTGTGTATGCAGCTCTCCAGAAAGAATTTGCACAGAAGTTCCTCCTTTATGTTGCAGAGAGTGGTATAATCTTTAAATAGCTTCTTACTGCCTTGAACTTCCTTATTAGCTTCTCTCCCCAGAGACAGATATTGGGAATAAAGACAAGCTGAGGTCACAGCAATCGCTGAGAGAAAAGGGAAATGGGGGTGGGGACCACTTGCTTTGCACAGAAATAAATGTCACAAAGCTGGAGGGGGATTCTGAGTCTTCCTGTAGCTCCAGCTCTGAAGCAAAGCCTAGCAAAGAGCCACAGAGCAGAAATTACATCGCTCGAATGCATTATGTGTCTTAATTGCCATCATTATATCAAGTGAACAAACCAGATAAACGAGAGCTACCCAGCTTTGCCCACATGAGACCTTTTTATCAGCTTGGAAAATGTTAAGAAGCTTTCTTAGGATATGTCAAGCAGCACAAAACTGTGACTTCTTTCCCTGGGAACTGCTGGTCCATAGCACAGACAGCACACATCCCAGTAAAAGCCTGGCCACGCATAGCTTCAGCATCCTGGTGATGGTAGTCCAATGACTACGGTGTGCTCACTTGGGTCACCCTTAAAACAAGGAACCTGATGACACCCTCACAGCTGAAAGTCATTCCCATACATCTCTGCTCCTTTCAGCACCTACCTGGAGAAGGTGAAGAGAATCAGCCTTCCAAAGGACACTGGCTGCTTCAATCAAGAAATAAACCAAAACCTCCCCAAACTTGGAGGACAATCCGTAAGAAAAGCCTGCATTCCAGCAAGACAGCACCCATGGGAACACTGCTACATCTAAGCTGCTTTGTAAGGCTGCAAAAACCCATTTTGTCCCATCTGTGAAAGATTTACTAGCATCTGCAGCAAGGTTTTATATTACTGAACTTTTTTATTTAAACAAGAGGTAGACTTAGTTTTTTGAACCTGCACTGTAAACTTAATTTCTAACTCCACTGACAAATGAACACTTGATTTTGCAAAGCATTAGCAGTGCTTTATAGAGTGAATCACTGAATTCAGAAGCAAAACAATGAATACCAGCTCTCAGTCATTAATGCAAAAGAGACAGTTTCTGTTCCAGTGTAAACTGCCTAAGGCCTTATTAACATCAAAGAATGAGCCAGAAAGCTGTTTCCTGTTTTCCAAAAGTAAACAGAACTTCATTTCTAATGTATGGAAAGGTCTGCTTTAAAGAACAGGGGTAGGGAACAAAGTACTTGAAGATAGCAACAGAGACCCATTTAAATATTGAATTGTTTCCAGTCACGGTATGCTATTTTAGAAGACTAACCTGTGGTTCACACATGCAATCCCTTCCACATGGCAATGAGAACTGAGAATCAGCCCTCAGTATTATGCAACTCTGACAGCATCTGTTTTTCCTGGATGATTTAAATACAAATATAACTACAGGAAAAGGAGCACAATAAGAAATGAGACTTAAGGTCTGTTCTGAGGGGAACATTGAGATTTATGTAGTGGACAGGAAGGTACTTTCAGGCAAAAAAAAAAAGCAGCACAGCTTTTTCTCAAAGAGATTTTAAAATTGAGGAAGCAAACTGAAGCACTAGAATAGTCTGAATACAGTAAATTTGTTAATTTAATCCTTTATACTGGTATCTCATGATGCAGTTTGAAACAGATGTTAAAAGTCAAGAGCAGGTCTACTGTGAAAGCAGAGGGAGAGATGATGGTCCCCATCCCCAACACCCGCCTCTCAATTAAACACAGTACACAAGGAAAAAAGTAAACCACAGAAAAAAAAACCCCAATAATGAAGGTCAGAAGTCAGCAAAGGGCAAGTCATAATATACCAGAGGCATCAGTTCGAGGTGACCTAAAAACTACTCTTGATAATACGAATCTGAGCACCAGACAAACCAACCTCAGGAATTAAAACCTTTTATGCCAGCATGAAGAGGAGGGTGCAAATGCTCACGGAGAATGCAACAAGGAAGAAAGGGTGAAGATTTGGGGAGGGGAGGTGAAGAGAAGAGAGGAAAGTGAAGAAGCAAATGAAGCAAGCTCTGGAAAGCCTGGCACAGAAGCTTGATTTTGACACGGTGAAGCAGGACCAGCACCAGCTAACAAGTGGCCTAATATCATGAGGGAGAAGTAAACTATTTTAGGCTTTGTCATCTGCACACATGGATTCTCTCTGCTAAATGCCAGATGCTAAATGTTCTTCTCTAAGCATGCAGGAATATCAGTCATTGCAGACTGTGCAATAATCACATTACAAGTTTACAAATGAAGGTACTCCCTATCTGCAGGGGCTTGTTCTTTCCTATAATGTACCAAAGCATCTCCCTCAAACACCCAGAGAGCTCAGAAGCATTTAAATCTGAATTAGATGTCAAATTAGCCCATGAAGGGAAATGCATTTTTCTTACTATACGAGAAGTAAATAGGCAGATAAAACTCTGATTTTTAATCACTGACATCTATGTGTCTAATGTAGATGCTGGAGAAAAACACCATCATGGTTTAAGATCATGCAATCCTCTAACAAAGTTCAGGTTTCACTCCACCTCTAACATACACAGGCAATTACCAAGCCTCCAAGGAGTCCAACTGCAGAGGCAGAACAGACTGTTCATAACACTCAAGGAAGAGAAACAGCAGCAAGACCACTGTCAATTCCTGCGTGTGGAACAGCTAATGCTTCCACCAGGCCTGGATGTTTCAACCCCTCCCAGTGCAAGTCCAATCCATGCAAGTCAAACTAAATGCTGAGTTTCAATCTTTATTTCAGTCTTAGAAGGCTTTTTCTTCAGGGCTGCATTTTTATATGTATCAAAATGCAAGTAAACAGATCAGTGAAGTGGGTTTTCCTTTAATTAGTCACACACAATAAAACTATTCCAGCCAGTGAAGCACTTGTAAAGCTGTTACCACAGTTACTATCAGTAAACAAAAAGAAAAGCACAGCAAGGCCATGAGCCACCTTTTACTGCCCTTTCCTATTACCTTCAGCTTTCCTCACATTCTTCAGGTAGAACTCTATAGCATATCCCTTCCAGAAGAAGAGGAATATAGCACTAACTTTTGATTAGCTTGGTATTTTATACTGCATAATTATCAAACATAGGTTGCAATTTAATTTAATTCCTTCTCAGTTATGAGTGCTTGACAAATTATGTCAAAGGGTATTTATTCTAACTACATTAGTCTCCTCATGCAAGAGGGAACTGCAGGTTAAATTTCAACAGGAAAGAGAATTGCTTTATGCTACTGGAAGGTACACAATAACAAGCCATTGGAATGGAGCTGCTGCATTCCTTCCCATCTCTCTGCTCCATTACATGCATTTCACACTGCAATATGAAAGCGATGCTTGCTTTGCTAACGTGTTCTGACCACACAGAAATAGAAGATGATCCCAGGACAGAGGAGACCTTTGCAAGTCTGTTCCAAGAGAGGAGCTGAGCCTTCCACACCATCAATAGCCAATAGCTTTGAGAGGGTAAGGATACTCCTCCAAAACAAAAAGATTTGTCTAAATGCAAAACCAATTAACAATAAATATATAAGCATCCTGGCTGTTCTAGAGGAGGACCTCCGTCCACCCACCCAAAGGTGGTTGTATTTGGAATGAAGCAAGAAGAGTTTCTGTTTTAAGAAGCCCTCCTTACTAAGGGAAAACAAAACCATCAGAGAAAGTCTGATGGAGCTTTTACATTTCTTGCAACTACAGAAACACTTGGTTCTTTATCAGGAAGGATGAAAGCACATGCATAATGCTGTATTTCAACACTGAAATGCTTCTTGTAGCCAGCTTCCAATAATGAATTCCAAGACATAGACTAATACACAGCATTTATTATCTAATACTACTGATATTAAGGTGGGATTCTGAACCAGAAATAAATCTTTGCCTCTGAACTTCACCTGGATCCAAGTGCTCTGCAGAACCTGTACTAGTACTATTCTCATTTTTGTCTCTTATCGCAGTACTTAAAACATACCTTTAAGGCTTCTATGACAAGATCTCTTGCTTCCAGTTCTCCCTCAAGAATGCTAAACAGCGTCAGTAGTTCTGGCTTGCTGAGTTTTTCCAGATTCATCCTGAAAACCTGCAATAAAGAGAACGTAGTTTATTTGGTATTTCTTTGTACAATGAAATCAGTATTCTAAGCTATGACATATCATCTCCATTTCACTTCAGCTTCCCCTTTTTTCAGATGTAGATTGCCCTGGGGGGAAAGGGGACGATACACAAGACAATCATTCAGCTTCTAAAACCAGTTGTAGAAGGCGCATTTTTCCCCTTTTCCCAAGGGGTCCTGAACATATGCACACCCAGATGGTGTAGGCAGAGTGTACGGGCTAACATGACAGTGTAATATTCACCAAGAAGTAGCCAAAGTTAACAAGGGAGGGAAAAACATGGGTATTTAAAAGCCATACTACTGTAGACTACACATCTGGATCCCACAGCTGTAAACATCACTGAAACGAGACTGAGGATGTGATGAATGCAGTCCAAACTGCAGTCCACCTACACAAACTTAATGGTGATGTTAACATTTCAGTGCTACAATGCATTTCCTAGGAATACCATTAGGAATGGAACAGGCCCAGAGCACTTCACAAAAATCAATGCCACAGAAAAACCACACACTTAATTACTATTCTTTCAATATCACTACAATTTATTAAATATGATTTTACTGTCCACATCAGAACAAAGACCCATCACCTGCACTGCACATACAAAAAGCTTACTTTTCCCCTGCATCTTTACTGATACACTTAACATTAATAATAAGCCTTTTTATTTTAACAAAGGAAGCAATTTCACAGACTAAATCCTTGTCTCTGATGCAAATACACCTGTTGATATAGTCTTGTGCCATGCACAACAATCAGTTACGCTTTTCCCAGTCCAAGTCACATCCACCTCTTGTCACTCCTTGTATTGATGAGAAAATGCTGCAGTACAAAGCTAACCAGAGACATCAAACTCCACCAGCAGGTGGTAAAGGGTTAACTTTACCTTTACTGGAGAAGACTATCCAGCTAAAGTATTCAGTTGAACTCTAATTTTTCTGAAGTCACTGCTGCTTTACAACTGATTTGCATAACTGTGCCTTGGAGAATTACGCACAAATGCAGGTTCTGTCTTGTTTATGCCAAAGCAGTTTTCCAGTTGCTGGGAATGGAAAGTTCTGCTGACAGAGAGAAGTAGGCAGCCTTCACACAGCAAGAGAAATCAGAAATCTGCTGTGTACCTGCTCTCCTAAGCGTGCAGGTTTCTCATCACGCAATCACATTCCTG